TGATAATAAACAAGATTACATTTAAACCAATAGAAAATTTTTCACGACGAAGGATTTATTTGAGAGCGTAAGAATTATTAAAGGAATATGTATTATTTATGAACTTCGCGACGGAATAAGAATTTATAAATCGCATCCCCAATAACTTTTATTTATACTTTAAATAAGTACGCTTCACCTGTTTTGAATAAATAGAAAACTGTTATCTCAATCCGTTTACGTGTTATTAATTAGTTAAGCGCGGAATGACAATCATAAATTCTAACAGTCGTAAAGAGTAATCAAGTTTAACATCTTTTCTAAAGTCACTCGCAGCCTTTGTGTCTTGAAATGTGTATTGCGATAATATATGTAATGCAATTCGCTTCAATACTTGCTTATTTGCAAGTTGTCAAATGATAGCGTTGTGGTTTTATGTATAAAACAACGCATGAAACGATCACGCGTAATAACGAATGCCGCGCGCCGGCTGACTGTTACGAAACGTTTAACATTATACGCTAAATTTTTGGCGATTAAAATAATTTGCTTATCTTTAAATTGGAAACGTAAATTACAGTTTCGCATTTTTAAGCTCGCGCGTCGTCAGTGTCGCGCAATGCAACACTGTTTCAAGCCCGACGACAAGAGTTTGCGCGTAGAGTGCAAAAAAAGATCGGAGCTTGCATGTTGCAGTATGCGCAAACGGATCCGTCCACAGCGGCACCCTTACTAATGGCACCGGCAAAACATGAAAACGTTCGTAATGCACGGCGAAATCCGGTAAAAAGCTTAACAGTAAATGGGACATAATCATCCGGAGAGAAAGAGAGCCGAATTGAATATTGGATAATACATCTCTCGCGCTCAAATGTATTATTTCCATTACGAATCTGGGACATCTTTCCTTTCACAAAAATTACGGGAATCGCAATCTAGTATTTAAACGTCTGCTTTTTAATTTAAGAACCAAGACATTGTAATTCGGATTAAAAAGGCAAATTCGCTCAACCTGCTATAAAACTATAATATTTATAAAACGTCTGAAGCGTCGTCGTACTCGAATAAAAAGTTATATATGTTTGCATCCTTTATGATCTACGTGTAACAAAGTCGCGAATTATATATGTCACAGATTGCGGAATTGCATGTCTCTCGAAAGATTACAGAAATCTTTTTCGGAATAAGTTGGCGTGCCACCCCCCATGTGCTTTCGCGTGCAAGTGTTATATCTCACGACAGAATTTAATGAGGTCCTCCCTGCAGGCGAGAGTTGAATTCCGCTTTAGTTTTAACAGCCCGAAATGCGGAAATTGCCCTCGATATTTTATCTCTTCATTTAATGACATAATTAATTCGATATTTTTTTTATTTCCACGCGTCAAACACACACTCACGTTCGCCTTCCACAGCCTATCAGGCTATATTCAAATGCAATTGTATAGATATAAAATACGTGCGTATCTTGTGAATTTTCAAATTTTATTTCGAATTTCGAGTTTTTATTTGTCGGAATAATTTTCAAATAAATAAGTTTGGAAATAATTTACAAAGTTTCGTAAATTGCGTTTCATTATTTCTGTTTAATTCTCTCTTCGGTTTCGAATTTCGTGTTTAAATAGAATATACGTTAATAATGAAATGCATTGTAACTACTTAAACAAGAGATTGCCAATTACGTCAAATTGTTTTAGGAATGCACTTGAAATTGCTTGTCGCCACCAATAAAAATTTTACATCTCTCTGTTCCTTATGGGAATGGGAGCGAAATTCGCAGCTACCATGTGCATTCCCATTCTCAGTACGTGCATGTGCGAACCTACCGAGCCTATAAGCCTGTGTAAATGCGAATACACGCGCGTGTCAATGTGCATAACACTTGGTATTACTGCACATCAGCGGCGCGGCGTGACTGCGCATCCGTTTGCTTAGCCATGACTGTTAATTTCGTCGGCATATTGAGCATATTTGAGCGTGTATACGGTGTCTACCGTCCAACGTTAAATGATTGGCCAATCCGAGAGGTTAAACATTGACTCTGTCGCGGGTGTTCGTACATACAGTCGTTCTTGTCACCTTCCCCCCTCGCTTTCTCTCTCACGTTGGCGTCACGTACGCCAAAGTGATTGCCACAGCGGTATTATGCGTTTACAACAATTAATAATAATGTTAAACGAGGATCTCGATGCCGTGAAGAACGGGATTATTTCACTCCCAAAAGGTCATATAAAAATTCTCTGTGTAACCTCTGTCGCGGAATAAAACGGTTCCCGATGTTCCGCTGCTAAACGTTACTCTCAAATCCCCTTTTTGCCAGAACGTTAATAAAAACTCCGCAAATAGCAGCGAATCATGAAAGTTTGGATAGAAAAGAAGGAATCTGAACTGTGCGTGTGTATAAAATTACACACACATACGACCGTCTGTGTGTCTTTTTGCCGCACGTCCTATCCTTTCGAATCGTCGATCCTTTTATTACCTTCTCTACGATTCCAGAAACCCTCGAAGAGTTATAATTGCCAGCGGGAAAACGCGGAAAATCGCTGTCTTCGCCGGCCAACATGAGCTTTTTTCACGATCGGTGAAACTTATCGCTCGTTATTACTCGCATTCCACGGGTTGGATCGTAATTAGACCAGATGCTTCAAGAATTACGACGGTTCGATGTCCAAGAATGCGTCAGAAATGCCTTCTCCGCGCGATCGAAAATTGTTTTAAAGCGTAAATATCAAATATTTGGAATACCGTTGTTATAAAACATGAAACACTTGTATAAGATCATTAATTCTATGTTATTAAAGTGAAGATTAAAGCGAAATATATATCCTATCAATTTGAACTTAGCAACTGTATAATATTAATAATAGCACAACAGGCTGATTTTATGCACTGAACGCAAGTCAGTCTACGTGAAACAATAGGTTTTTTTTTCGTTGTGCAAACAGCTGAGGAAGCAAGCGATAAGTTCCGCTGCTCTTTTACAAACTAATTTCCGATACCAAACAATTTAATTTGCAGTTTACAGTATGCGTGCTGCCTGTACAAAACGTTTATAGAAACTCCAAGATTTCATTAGTAAAAGAGTAAACTTATCGGAGCAATTAGCTTAATGCCTCAACTCAAGTTTCGAGTGATCCTCGTAATTGAATCGCGTGCGCGTGGAATGCCTTTATATCGAGTATGTCTTCAAACTCATCGTTATAATTAAATCGGACAGTTGCTTTTGTACTCGCACTTGGTTGAGACTAATTTCCCGGCAAAGCGATAGAACAATTTCGATTAGTAGTAATTTCGTATTAAATAGCACGATGGACGGACTATAACCTGACAGATGACCGATATTGAAATTGCATGCCAGCTAATTAATCGTATCAGCCCACAATCTCATCAGACATCTCATTAAATTTGTTCTTTATGAGCGCCGCTGAATGTGCACGAACATTCGTTCATTAAGCTATCAATAACGTACTTACGAGTCGAAGCGATCTAGATTTGTTACGCTCCATTTAAATGTAATACCAAACGTAATTTAAATATTCCTTCCTAAAATATTTTAGGTTTTAATGTACTTTCTTTTTTTGAAGATAGAATTAAAGAACAAAAATAAAATTTGCATTTTGCAAATTAAATCAGAAGTAAATTTTTGCTTAATCTCTAATGTTGTGAATGTTAATCAAGCTTTTCTTTCAAGACATTTGCAATGTTAGAAAAAAGGAAGAAAAAATTAGATTCTTATAAGGATAAAATTTTTTTGTTAAAATTAGATTCTTATTGTTTTATTTTCTAATCTTAATACGTTTAGGATATACATAATTATATACATATATAATTTATATAACTAGAACAAAACAGAGCCCGCGCTTTGCGCGCGCCATTTGTTCATTATCCCTGAAACATAACACACACACACGCACGCACGCACGCACGCACGAACAAATACACATATCATATTAAAT